AAAAAAAAAAAAAAAAAAAAATAGAAGAATATTACGCCGAAAAGGACTGAAACATTTATGTAAAAAGTTTTTTGTAAAATAGCGCTAACGACGAGAAGCATGGACATTTAAAATTGTAAGCTTTCGTTTTGTGTGACAGCATATTTAATAATGTTCATAATAAGCTGTGGCACAATTAAGGAAAGTGAACTATATGGGCCTCACCATTATGTGTACACACCTATTACATAACATGTAACGTCTTTGGATTTGTTTAGGTGAAAGTATGAATTACGAACTCAATATACCTTTTTTCACAAGGCATAACTTCCAAACGAGAATTACATATTATGTTATTATGTATTGATTCCCACTTCTACGTGTCTGTCTGTCTCTCATAAAAAAAAAACCATTAAGTTATATATTTTTTTTTGTATTTCACATTGATTAACTTTGGGCTTTCTTTCATTCAGCGTACGCAAATAGCCAGGTAATCGAATTTCGCTGTAATATGCCACATAATTGTATAACTAATATATAAATTACAATTTAAAAGGTTCTTTCGCTTTTTAAAAAATACTTTTACTGATAGTAAATTTGAAAAAATTGGTATCATACAATTATACAATAGCGGCTGGCAATGAAAGGAAATAGTTTTTCAACTAGTTTCCTAAATTAGACCTTAATAGAGAACTGAACTTCGAACACAGAACAAAATTTTCAAGGGTAGCAAGTATTTCCTACAACATGACTTTTCCAGCTAATACAATTAAAGATACTGAAAATATCAATTATCAAAACATTATAAACCAGAATGGAACTACTACCTTGTACTTTATAGGAAACATATTTATTAAGGGGTTGCACAAATTGACATGTTGAATAATCAGTAATTAAAAAAAAATTAATCTTAAGCAAAGAAATTTATGTAAAGTGAAGTAATAATTAGTCGTATAGTTCATCTATCGCAGGAGTTTTTTCAACATGAATTCTGCTATAAAACAGCTTTTACAAGGTCATTCAATAGAAATAATATAAACTATTATAAACACTGTTTGACGGAAAGTAGAAGGTCTCTCTGAAAATCAACTGAAACAGGAAGAAACACTTGATAAATAATGAATAACTTATATATGTAGAGAGAAATATATGACATAATGAAATTGTCAAGCCTACACGTAAGTATTATGTATTCCAATATTTTTTTGTTTGATTGTTTATTTGTATACGCACAACACATCTTGATCTTTAAATAATTACAAAATGGAATCAACAAAGAAAATTATTACGGGTAGGTGAACGTTAGTTTGGCAGCTTCAGCAAAAATGTTCAGAAGTAATTTTTGTGGGCAACGGCTGTAAAAAATTGGTTTTTGGTTGAATGAAGACACAATAAGAATAACACTTTAAGTATTATTTATAAAGATATTATGTCTACATGCGTCTATAATATAAGTATTTAACTAAAGTGAAAGTAAAATTGTGTTTTTGTATTTTTGGCTTCATAGAAAGGTTTCTTGTGCATTCGCAATTTAAAAAAAGATGCAATATTATTTAGCGAACGACTAACTATATTATACGGGCTGAATATTATTAAATTATTGTAAGCATATACAGTGGTATTTAAGCATATAATTATTGTGTATATCTTAAAATAGATTTTCTCCATTAACCTCTATTCTTANTTTTTTAAGCCAAACGGCATTCTTGTATATTCATACAATTTACCGTTAGCAGAGAATGCTGTTTTCTGAATAGATTTTTCATCCATTTTAATTTGATGAAAACCGGATGTCAAATCTAACGCTGAAAAATAAATAGCTTTACCTAGTGAGTCTAAAATTTCGTCGATGTTTGGCAGTGGGTATTTGTCTGAAATAGTTTTTTCGTTTAATTTACGGTAATCCACAACCATTCTCCACTTCGTTTTCCCTGAAGCATCCTTTTTTTTTGGAACTATCCAAATGGGACTGGACCATGGGGAAAAAGAAGGTCTTATAACTCCTTGGTTTAATAAATTTTTTATTTGTGTTTCTACTTCTTGTTTGTGGCAAGGTGGATAGCGGTAATTTTTCGCAACAATAGGTACTTCGTCTGTTGTTATGATTTTATGTTTAATTATGTCAGTGGAAGTAAGTGTGTCGTATTGTTCTAAATAGAAAATGTCGGGGAATTTAGAAATTAATTCAATGATTGATTTTAATTCTTCATCATTAAGGTGGTCTGAACGAATTTGCTTAATTAATGTTTCTATTCTTTGTTTCTTTGAAATCGCCAAATTTTTAAATGACTTAATGTTGTTAATATTTGGTTTACTAATAGGTTCTAAGTGTAAGTGATCAAGTTCTATTTGTTCGTTTTTGTCAGACAAATTAATGCATGTTAAATAAATTACCTTTTGCTCATTAGTCCGTACAAAACATTCTGGGAATAATATTTTATCATCAATATTAAAACTTTCTAAGTGATAGTCGGTGTTTAC